GGCTGCCGTTTTCTTGTTGTTTTGAAGACTGTCTCCTGGCTGGCCTGGAACTCAGACATGCACTGCTTGATGAAAAGAAGGGACCACCCTTCTCGTCTCAATTGCTATGTTTTGTTCCTAATCTATTAGGGACTTTGCTCTTTTAACCTTTTATAAAGAATCTTTTAACCTTTTATAAAGAATCCTTCAGCGTATGTGCTCATGATTTGTGCACATTGGTAAGGACTTCTGAGCCAATCTTGTAGATCTCAAGCAGTATTTATGAGAAATTACTAAATCGAGGCAGCTGTTGTGGCACAGGCTTTTAATCCCAGCACCTGGGAAGTAGAGAAAGACTTTGCATTCCAAGGCTAGCCTGTGCAGCATAGCAAATTCCAAGCTAGTCTTGGCGACATATTGAGACCCCGACTCAAACAAAACAAGTTACTGAACTACTCTCCACAAGCTCAGGAGAACCCCCTCGTTATTTGCTGTCCTTCTCTGGATCCCCAGGGCATAGAGGTGAGGCAGAAGAGAAAACACAGAACACAGAAAAAACAGAGAAAGACCATCAGGAAAGGTACAGCCACAGAGTCCCAACCGGAACTCACCAGGATAGACCAGGAAGTCACCACCAAACTTCCCAGCTGCGCTGAGGAAGAAGCCTCTCTCCCACAGGTCCCGGTAGATGCTGTAGCGCAGCTCGTGGGCGGGACGGCCAGCATGCGGCCAGTCTTTGGACTGCACACGCCAATCCAGAGGCTTAGCCTTCACAGGCCGAGGCCTGGCAGTGGCCAGCTGGATGAGCAGGGCTGACCTGGGCAAGGGGGTCACCCCGTTTGAAGGCCCTGGCTGGGGAGATGAAGACTCTGGAGGAGAAGAAGACTCTGGGGAAGATGAAGAGCCTGAGGAAGGGGCAAAAAGGATTTTACTGAACCCACAAGGCAAGGTCTGCTTATCCCCAGGAAAAGCCAAAGATTCCTTCCCTCCTGCCCCAAATCCCAACCCCAAGCCTTACCTTCACCTGCCTCCTCCTGCTGCCCATTAGCCTGGCCGTCATCAGTGGTCTCGCCCCCTGGGGTGCTCCCCTGGGGAGCTTCGCTTCCACCGGCTTCTTGGCCTTCATCGGCCCCTGAATCCTGCTCCAGCTTCTGCTTCTTGGCAGCCTGGCCCTCTGCTGTCTTCTCCAGGAGCTCCTGAGGCTGGGTCTCACGGGCCTCGGCTGCCAACGAGCTCTGCTCCTGGAAACTCTGCTCCTGCTGGCGCTTG